TGGAGATGGGCATTCTGAACTTCAGAAAAACTTCCTAGGCCTAGAATGGACTCACCTGGGAACAACAGGAATGGACTAAGGTCTCTAGGAGAGTGCTTGAACTTCAACCGATATCCATTGAGACCCTGACCTCATAAAAAGCAAAGGCAAGCAAAAGATATGGGTCTTTTACCCATAGCTACACATTTGGGTATTCTTTTGCTTGTTGATTTAAATGATATTGAATGACCTATGTTCTAAACCATCTCTTAATTTCTTGGGCCAATGGGATTTGGAAAAAGCACAAGTTCTATAATGTGGCCCAGAACAAGTCACTTCATTTTTTTGAGTCTCAATTTCCTCACCTGTTAAATATGTTGTTGGCCTAAGTTGGGATTTCTTTAACCTAGGGCATGTAGACGAGCCTTGGGAGGTTTATGATCTTCCCGAAATTACATGTAAAATTAATCATCTTTCCATTATCTGAGTAGATGCCTCCCAGCATTTATGGGATTTCTCAGAGGAGTCTGAGACAAGAATCCAAAAATCTTTCTTAGTTGCGAGATTAGAACACAAGCCAGGCAGATAAAGAAGGCCCTCCTCTGGCTTCTGAGTGTCTGGTGGGTACCTTATCTTCTTGGATACTGGATCGTGCTTAGACACCATCACCGTGCAGGCTCCACAGCTTCCTCTTCCACAGGCATACTTGGTTCCTGTAAGGCCTACTGGAGGTCGGGGTGATGAAGGAAAAGTTGCCAAGGGGAACATTTTGCATCTAGCCATAGCTAACTGCTTCCCTAGGGTGTTGCTAAAGGTCTTTGTGGGGTGAGCTGCAGGTCTCTGAAGTCATGTTCTTACTTCCAGGTCTTATTAAAGGCCACTCCATACCTTATTAGCTATGTGACATGGGCCATACTTAATTTTTTCTTGCCTATTTTCTAATTTACACAGAAGGAGGCATAATATCTACTTTATTGTCACAGGTTTATCACAAGCATATCATGGGATAATGATGTAAAAACTTTGAAAAATCCTATTTCATTATAGAGTATTCTTATATGTCTTCCTCTGGGCTCCAATCATATAATTGGAGGAGAAGAACTTTATTTTTAGAAAACGTATTATGAGTTTTGCTCAGTAGCTTGTATTTAAAAACAAGGAATCTTCAGAGGAAACTCCTGTCTTTACTTTTTTATTTTTTCCTTGAGCACCCCTGGATTGGTCCAAGTCTGATCCTGAATCTAGGCCCAGCCGCATTCATCCTTTTCCCTGTGATCTGTTTCACACACTTTATGGAACTGGATGTAATTGACTAGACTGGCTAAAAACACTTCAGAATCACTGAGTCTTTATTGTTATTATCTATTTTTTCCTAATGATAGGGTTTATTACTCTGAATTAAAACATGGCCTCAAATGCTTAACCAGAGATGTCACACAAATAAATACAGTGGCAAGGGTGTGACTGGAGAGCCTGAACTCAAAGGGAACAGTCCCTACTGAGCTCTAAGCAAGACTATTGACACGCAGGACTGGCCAGTTTCCCAGTCACAATGAGAAGCTGAAAATCTTGAGTTTTGTTTTAAAACATGGAATTCCCTAATTTTCAAATATTGACAACTAATTATAAACCATGTGAGCTTGTGGGCTTATAAACAATATTGTAGAGGCCAATTTAATCAATTTGAAATTTCTCTCAATTATTTTAATTTTTCTGGCAATTCCAAGAGATCCATTAGATTTGCCCATTAAAATATGTTGGCCATTATGAAGATCTAGATTCCAGAATATAAAATGGGGTTGGAGGAGTCTGGTGTCAGAAAGCAGGTATAGGGAAAGAAAATCTTTTCCTCTGACACTGTCTCACTGATTCTGGAGAATTTGGTTTCATGAAGGGGCAGGTAACAGGACTTCTATTACATGACACTCTGCTGGGGACCTGCAAAGCCCTCCAGGGACTATTTCGTGAGGAAATGAAGAGCTTAGTTTCTATTTCATGCTATTAAATATAAGCACCTCTGGGAAAATTCTTCCTCTCCAAACTAGCCTCCTTCACCTGAGATCCAACTTAAAACCATGACCAAAAACAAATAGCAAGGGCCAAGGGCCAACTGGATGGAGGAAGTGATCAGTTCCCATGGTTACATGGCTAAATTTTTAAGGAACACACACAGCCAGGACTTAGCTAAAAAGGGTTCAGTTTTTTCGTAGGAAGGTCAGCAGAGTCACTTCTGGGTCTGCATTCCTTTCTGTCACCTGTGTTAAAACAGAAGAGAGATTATTGTGGGGTTGAATCAGTGACCAGTGGAATGTCTGTTACAGCCTGTTAGGGCTTGGGCTATAATATTAGACATGCACTTTTTTTTTTTTTTGGGTGCTCTGAGGGCAGACAACTTTCATGCACATTTAGGGGTAGGAGCCTCACAAAGCATGGCAGTTCTGATCTTCATGATAAAAACTGGGATCCACTTCTGTCTACAAATGTCCCTGGACTTGTATTCTTCACATTTGCTCCCCTATCTACCTTAGTGGAATCTTCCAATTCAACCTACTGTACTCTGAAATATTTCAAAGCTGGGAGGTACTTGGACAGTGGGTGGGCAGTGTGGGGTCCTATAGGAGGACAACTTGGCAGAAGGAGTTCCTGGAATCTCTATGAAACGATTGATGACATCAGGGGTCTTCATGATCTGTGGCAGAAAAGGGAGTGGGGAGAGTTGCTGTCATCCTGGACAAGCCCTGGAGCCTGCCAGTCCACTCAACGCAGAGTGGCCCTACAGTGAGCCTTGACACCCTACTCAGGGCGCAGGGTGGTTCTGGTGGGACACTAGACTTCCACTATCCCTCCCCTTGGGAAGTGGAAGTGTTGGCACTCAGAAGTCATGAGGGCCCTTTTTGGTGCCTCTTTCCCATTATGTATCTTGGGATATTCCTTTGACTTTGTCTTGGGGTGTCCAGAAAACGGCCATTTTGTTTTATAGAGAAAGAGATGATCCAGTGGGTGTCAGTGTGCCGCAGTCTGGCTGGGCACAATTCAGGAGCCACTTGTCAAAAGAAATGAACTTTATTTTTAGAAAACACACACCACACCACACAGCTCCTCAGGAAAAACCCTCAGAGCCCAACTGCCACCACCGGCTTCCCACAAGCCTCTCAACCTCCCCCAGTCCTCCTGCTCTTGGGGCCGATTGGCTGGGTGGATTGGCTGGGTCAAGTTGGTGGAGCCAAAAAAAAGCCCCCCAATGAGCAGCTCCATGGTCTCAAAGGGCAGGGAAACAGCCCAATGAGCATCACCACAGAGGAGCCAATCAGTTGGCAGCTAGAAGTTTGCTGGGGCCGCTGTGAGCCAATCATCAGCTGGCAGCTGGAAGTTTGCTGGCAGCTGGAAGTTTGCTGGGGCCCCTTCAGCTGTGGCTCTCAACATCAGTGTTAGATTCTTCCTTTTTCCCCAAAAGGAAGACGTATACTTTTTTAGTCCTCAAAGAATAAGGAATTATAGAAAGATGCTTCCAAGTTGAGATATTAAAATTCAGCTGCTTTCTGGATTCCAGGGGCACCTATCCAAGGGAAGAAGTCCCCCTCTGCCTGCCCCTGTACCACCCTAAGTCCTTTAAAACACTGAGAATGTGGTGGGATCTTATTTTTTATCACCTAACACTCTCACCCCCACCACCTCTAACCCTGGACTTATTCTCTGTTCTGACTGCAGCTACTTTACTCTGAAAGGACACAGAACAGCATGAGGAGGAAGGAGCCTCCTCTGGCTTTCTTTTGAGTCTCCAAAGCCAAGGCCAGTGGCAAAGCAGGTAGGGCTCAGCTTGTGGATTGTTTTGGAAGTACATGGTGGTTGCTGGTTGGGAAGATTTGATACAGGAGAGAGGGTTCTTAGGCAAGTGATGAGACGTTAGGAGCTCCATGGTCTATTTCCTTTCTTGGGCCAAGCCCAGAGGTGTGTGTGTGTGTAGGTGGGGGAGACACACCAAACCCCAGTGAGGAATGTGGGATTGGAGGTCAGAGAGGCCCTGGAGGAGAGGGCACAAGGCCCGAGAGAAGCTGTGTGCCCTCGAGAGATACAGACTCATGACAGGGCCTGGCAGAGGGCGCTGAGGGCAGGCAGTGGTCTGTGTGGATGGATTGTGAGGACAGGAGGGGAGGACGTTAGGGAAAAGTGGCAACCAGGAGACCCTGCCCTTGTCACATAGGTTCCCCCTGGCACTCGGCTATACCCAGGGAGAGAGGGGGACACTAAACTGATGGAGATTACACTTTGATGGATTCTGTTTAAAGGGGGCTCAACTGAAAATTGAAGTTGGTAAATAGAAAGATAAAGCAAGCTCCATTTCTTATCCTCCTGAGTCTGAAGATGAAGATGTTATTGGAGAAAGTCCTTCGTGTCTCAGACTCAGTTATATAAGCACTTTGTGGGATCCTAAGCAATGAAGGGAGTGGCTCTCTTTTCATCTTTACAAAAGCCCCAGGAAACAGATTCCACAAGTGAGGACTCAGGGAGGCAAAGCTCTCTGTGTAAGGTCATGCAGTAAATGGCAGAGCCCACGGAGCTGCTAGAGCCAAGCCCTGACTGAAAGGGGAACAGGCGGTTTCAGGCCCTGTAGCAGGCTGACCTCTGCAAGCCAGGGAGTAACACCCAACACTCACCTTCCTCCCGTTCACGAAGAAAACCAATGCATCCGATCCCGATGGGCAAGGCATGGCACCTGCCAATGCTCGGCTCACAGTTCTATGGGGAGTGCTCTCTGGCACCAGCCACAGAAGTGAGTGGAAAGGATTTAGGACCAGCAACTGGCTTCTCTCCCTGGCTGGAGCCTCAGAGGGGAGGGCAGGAGGTGGAGACTTCCTTGCTTTGAGGTTTTTATGTTGAGGGCTTGGCCTCTAATCCTGTGCCTCACTCCTACCAATCCTGGCTTCAAAGCTGGCTGGGCACACAGCCCACACCTTTTCTAGCTTTTTCTGAAGTTTGAGGGCATTAGTCTAGAAATCATCAGTGTGAAAAACAATAATCTAGGCCCAACCTCCCTCTGCAATGTCACCTCTAGCCTACGAACATATCCTGGATGGATTTCATTCTTCTTGGAGTATAGGGTGCGCTTCCTGAGACCTCACACTTGCTCAACTTGTTCCTTATTCTACCCTGGGAAATGTCCCCTCAGAGGAAAACATATGAACAAGTCCAGCCTGTGCCCTAGTGGAAGGAGAAGTGTGGAGTGCTGCATCCACCCAGCCCCTCTGCACTCCTTCTCCCCACCCCTGTGATCATTCTGCTGGAAAACAGTGATCTAGTCAACCACTGTACATTTTCTTTTTAATGTAAGGCCCATGGGCCAGAGTGGTCACCTCAGGGTCACGCAGGAGTAAGAGGTAAAGCAGAAACCAAAACTAAGATCTCCTGGGTTGAAATACCTCTAGGTATACATAGAGACCCTTGATCAGAAGAACATACCAGGCTGACCTCTCTGAACATCTCCAGTGAGCTGTCACAGATAAAATCCAGCAGTCCTTGTTCTTTCAGCTGAAGTCATGCCCAGGACTTGGCATTGCAGATTAGTAAAGCAAGTAGATGCTCAGGAGAGGTGGCAAGACCTCTCTTCCCCACACTTCCTTCATGAGGTCATGGAACCCTCATTAGAGCAATCCCTTTATGCTAAGAACACTCACTACATGACAGCGTGTCAGGCCAGAAACCACAGACATCTGGCATCCCTCTGCCAGGGCTCATGGGGAAGATCTCTTTCTCAGTTGGTCCGGGTGGGGTTTCAGCATCTTTCCCACCACAGAGGTGTTCCAGAAAACACTTAATCAAATGAGCTGAAGCTTTCAAATTTTTTTACAATTCTAATGCCCAGGTCCTCAGGCATACCAGGCCTAGTGTACCTGTGGACACAAGTGTGTATGGGAGTTTCACATGTATTAAGAAGTGGCTGAATAAATTAACAATAGGATCATGAGAAGTTGTAGATCATGGTGTGAATGAGTAGGGACCTTTGAGTTAGCCTTTTTGATCATGTTCCTCCTGCTCAAAAACCCCCAGTAGCTCTCTGTGGCCTGGAATATAAGGTCCAAACTCATCCCTAAGTCCTCCACAGTCTGTCCTTGTTTCTGGCCTCAGATGTTCTTGCTCTGCAAAACAAAGCAAAAACCAAAACAATTACACATACACACATAAAAACCAAATAAATCAAAGCAAAACACAACAACAACAAAAATCATACTCTAGCCAAACTACTTTTCTAATTGTTTTTCTACTTTAACTTGGGGCTTCTCTACTTAAAACCTTAGTCTATACAATAGCTACTTGTATCCCCCAGAGTGGCCAGGGTGAATGATAACATATTCATTGCAGGGATGAATAAATACTTGACTGATGACCCAAGATACTTTAAAAGAAGGAGCCATTAGTGATGAACTAAGTTGCTAGACATTGTGCATCTGCCTTGCACCAGATTCTGCTAAGTGGCAGAGGTACAGAAGACAGCAGATCCATCCATTTCCTTTCTCTGAAGGGTTTCACAAGACATAGCACATAATTCAACATTTACGCCTTTGGCGAACACAAAACAGAGAAACTAGCCTTATTTGGGGGACAAGGACCAGGGAATCCATCTGAGAAAGGCACATTTAGGCCTGAAACATAAACAGGAGTTAATTCCTGAAAATTGAGCCCAGAAGTGAAGCAGGATGGGGAAAGAGAGAAAGGAGCACGTGGCGACACAGGTTATGGTCATTTCCATTTAAGAGCATTAGTTTGAGGGCATTTGTCTGAATGCCCTCAACCCCCCAGAGGCTGTTTTTAAGGGTCCCCAATCTGTTCACCACTTCATGCTTCCCTCTAAAAGAGGGCAACTTGTACACACAAAGGGCCCATAGTCACCGTTGATGGGAGCTGGATGCTACCAGAGACCAGAAAGCATGAACCATGGTGTTCCCAAAGCCGCCATTGGTAAATATCGCCATTGGTAAATAGTCTACTCTAAGTTCAAGCATTTAGAGTAGAAAAACAGTTTTGGAGTACTAAGGTTGGATAATGGTATTAGATTTAGGTTATATAAAGTACTTTGGATTAGGAAACCAATTGCATTAATTGCTGGGAAACTGAAAACTGATCCTGCATTGCCTTTGAAAAAATGTTTTCAAACTTGTTTAATCCGGGAAACCTTTGTTTGAGTGAAATCTTGTGAAGTGTAAACAGATAAAACAAAAAAGTTGCTGTTCTAGGTGAGGAGTGAGGTCTCAAGTCCTCTGGCTTTCTTTCCCTTAAGAAGCCCCCAGGCTCTGGGGAGCTTAGTTTGGAAAACATCCACTTCAGAGTGAACAAAGAGTGTGCGAAGTAAAGCAGGAGGGTGAGCTGCAGTTTCTGCCAAGTCCTCTGCTCTCAGATCTTACTCAAGACAATGGCAAAAAGCAATCACTTTGTTTTCTTTCTTTTTTTTCCTTTAATGAAGAAGGAAGAACAAGTTTTTTCACTTTTAAATGGATTATTCCAGTGGGCAAGAGAAATTCCGCATATGTTAACAGGTGCTCAGATGTTTGTTATAAAAAAGGACTTATGATTTACATCAAAGATCCCTGTTAGCTAATAAAAGAATTAATATTGGAAATGACACTTACTCTCTCCTCCAATTCAAACAGGCCTTCTTCCTGGGGGGTGGGGGAAGAAGTAGCACATTCTGCTCACTGATATAAATGGAAAAGTACTGGTAGTAGGCTTTGATGTCACTGGATGCGGCCTTCTGTGTTGAGTTATTTGAAATCCAAAGATGGAACAAAGGCAAGCAGACAGTGAGCACTTTTTAGGAACTTGAGGGTTTGGGTTGATCATTAAATACCCATATTCCAGGCCTTTCCCTCTCCACTCTTCTGACCATGAGGTCCCTTCTCTGCCCTTCCAGGCTCTAACCTTTCTACCTCTGCTGAGTCTATGGGAAGCTGGGTGCCAGTGAGGCTCTGGGCTCTGTGGGAGAGGATTCTTCCCCATAGGCTGAGGGAGTGCCTGGGGATCAGCAGCCTGAGAACAGTGAATCTGGAGAGAGCTTGGTCCTTGGATGGGGGTGATACATGGAGAGAAATCTTGACATTGGTGTAAGTAGGTCAGTAGTGCCAAAAGCGGTGCCTGAGCCCTTCTTGTCCCTGAGACTTGATGAGTGTGAGGAGTGGGAGAGGCCAAGGCTAGGGGCTTTCCTCTATTTGCATCACAGGGCCCTGGCAGCCTTCTTGCTTCTACCCTTCTGAGGGTGAGGATGGATTAGGAACATTTTTTGTTCTACAGCCTGTGGTTGGGGTTCTTAGGGTACTCTAATCTAAGCTGAAGCCCAGTGAGCTGACAGATGAAAAACAAATTTAATGGTGCTTTTAGGGAGCTTGGTGGAGCTTGGTGTTCCCAATGTGATCTTATTTGGGAACTGTTTTTTTAAAAAATATTTTTTAGTAGTATTTGGACATAATATCTTTATTTTTATTTGTTTTTATTTTTATGTGGTGCTGAGGATTGAGCCCAGCATCTCACATGTGCTACACAAGTGCTCTACCGCTGAGCTACAACCTCTGCCCTAGGAACTAGGTCTTTATTGATATCATCAAGTTAAGATGAAGTTATATTTGATTGGGGTGACCCCTGAATTCAATGACCTGTCATGAGAGAGATGGAGATTTGGAGACAGATGGATACACAGGGAGGGAAGACGGTGCGATGGAGGCAGAGATGGAGTGATGTGTCTGCAGGCCACAATGTGGCAAGGATTGCTGGCAACTACCACAAGCCAGGAAGATGCACAAAGATTATTTCCTAGAGCCTTTAAAAGAAGGTTGATACCTTGATTCCAGGCTTCTAAGCCTGGGAGAGAATACATTTCTGTGGTGTTAAGTTTCTGGAGCAGCCCTGGGAAACTAATACAGGTCCAAGAACAGAGGGAGGATCAGTCAAAATAGGTGGGACACACACCTAGCACAAGAGAACTGCGGGAGGAGACAACTGTCAATCTGAATTTTAAAAAGAACATTAAACTGTAGTCCCCGAAACACTTTCTGGAGTAAAATAGACCAGCCAAAAAACAATTCAGTAGATGAGATGATCATGTTTGAAATCCAAATTACTGACGTGGAAAACAAAGTGCAGGAAATATACTTCTGTACAGAGCAAGACAACAGAATAAGAAATCATGAAGGGCAGGATGAAAGATTTAAATCCTATTGTTCAACAAAGAAGCAGGAACAAGTGATTTATAGATGAATTTTGTATAATCAATCATTAAGATAATGACAAGGGTATTTAAACTCTCCCTGGCATATATAAAGGGAAATTCTGCCTAATTCATTTTATAAACTCAAAATATTAGAAAACATTATAGAAGAATATCACTAGTGAATATAGATACAAATATTTTAAGTAAAATATTAGTAAGGGCTGAGGATGTGGCTCAAGCGGTAGCGTGCTCGCCTGGCATGTGTGCGGCCTGGGTTGGATCCTCAGCACCACGTACAAAGAAAGATGTTGTGTCCGCCTAAAACTAAAAAAAAAAAAAAAAAAAAAGAAAGAAAGAAAAAAAAAGATAAATATTAAAATATTAGTAAATCAGGTCCAGAAATGTACCAAGGGATAATATACTAAGTAAGAATTATTTCTGGGACACAAGAGTAGTTCAATATCAGAACTATAAGTTAAATATCAGTGTTATTAAATCTGGCTTGGTATATTACATTAAAAAACAGAGAAGGAGAACTGTGGTCAAATAAATAGATTATGTTAAATTACTGGATAAAATTCAGAAGCTGTTCTTAAGAAAAACTCCAAATCACAGAGAAGAG